ATGATTCTTTCAAATAGTTCAGGTCAGATCCAAACACAGTATCCCACAGTTGTTCCAAATAGTCCAGGGCAGATGATAAAAATGCATCGTTCTACGATTGTTCCGAAAAGTTCAGGTCAGACCCAGACACAGCATGTCAAGAGCAGTCAAACCGGTATTACGAAGACACAGCCAACTATTGTCACCGATGGGTCAACCAAGACCAAAGAAAACTCTGGGTGAGTGGGAAAATCCCTCACAATCTTTAGTTACTTCCAGTATTTAATGGCCAAACTTAAAACCTCAAATGAGAAACTTTAAATCTGTATTTTGTTCCCCTCTTAGGGCAAAGGAAACCATCTCGGCTGCTGGTATCACGTTGAAGGAGGCTGTGGAGTTTCTTTCCAAGGATGATGAGAATTACCAGCACTGTGGAGCCTCCTACATTCAGCACAACACTTTCATTAGTGACACGGCAAAAGAGGAGGTGCTTTAACTTGTCTTTGCTCATAAACTACCTAGATCCTCCTTTAAAATATGAGACTAAACTGACTGAAGATGAATCTGAGCTCTCCCATGAGTCCCTTTGTCTTTGGCCCTTTTTCCACAGTTCCTTCTTGGTCCCACTTTACCCTGATCAGGCCGGTTCCATGTTCTTTTCCACAGGGCCTTCTTCGTGGAACCGGTTTGTTTTTTCAGTACCTACTTCTCTGTGGTTCCATTGAGGCCAAGCAGGACCCTAAAACTTGACATCAGTGCACTGTCAGTCACAGATTGGTCAGGGGGTGGAGTCATTGGTCAGAAGGCGGAGTTTCAGAAACTTCCACCGCAACCCGATCCGCCATTTTCTTTTTAACCCGCCATTAGAAACAACTCGAATCCGGAGGAGCGTATTTTGGAGTATTTTGACGGTATAAACAAACAATAATGTCACAACCGTGGTCAAATGCTGAAGTTCAGGAGTTTTTGTGTTTGCTGGCCGACGAAAAATTCAGAGCGAGCTAGATGGAGCGATGCGTAACGAGAAGGTTTGTAAAGAGGTGTCGGTGCGTTGATGCTACTGATCCACCCACTAAAGGGGCACTAATGGGCACTGTGGACACGGAAAATGAAGCGATCTGACCTGTACCGGCCCAATAAGGGCCGAGCCGAGCAGAACCTATGGAAAAGAGGCTTTTGACAGATACTTTGAATCCGTTACAAGAAATCAGTGAAAGGAAAAAAAATCCCTATCATGAGTTTTGTTGCTGAATTTTGATTGTTCTTTGTGGCTAAAATAAGTCTTTGCTTTTGAATTACGTTTAATTATTGCAAACCGTAGTTGTGCTAATTTGTAAATCCCTTTTGTCGTGCAGGTCCTGAGGCTAAAGGGCATCCCTCCGCTGGTGAATCTGCTGCGCAGCTCCAGTTCTCAAGTCAAATACACAGCCTCGGCCACCCTCCGTAACTTGTCCTATAAGAGTGATCGTAACAAAGAGGAGATCCATCGCTGCAACGGCATCCTGGTGGCTGCTGATCAACTCAGAGACTCAGACTCTGTGGAGCTCGACAAACAACTGACAGGTAAACAGTGGAGCTCTGAAATGTAAAACTCAGGATACACACACACACCTAACCAAACTAACAAGTCCGACAGAGAGCCAACTGTGTGGGCGTCGCACGGTCTTGTCGAGTTCCAGCGCTGCACAACGTAACACAGGCATTTTACGCACACTTTCAAAATCCATTTGATGCTGATTTTTTTTCCACTCCTCCTGTTTTTTTTTTTTTGTTTATTTATTTCTTTAAACTTTAAAACTAATGGTATTAAAGAGGTTTTAAAGTAGACACAAGTGATACAAACTGCACCTGAATCTCGCACACTATCTGTAATATCTCCATTAAGGGTACTGGAAGGAACCTGTTCAGTGTTCTTGTCATTGAAATGCATTTAAATATGACATCTGTTTAAACTAATAAATTTATTATGAAAATCTAAATAAATAATAATGGTCACATTTGATTTTTTTTTTCTCCCCAGGTCTTTTGTGGAATTTATCCTCTGCAGACAACCTGAAACCGGATCTGTTGAAAAATGCTTTGTTTGCTCTAACGGAGCGTGTGAGGCTGCCTTCCACGAACAAGACCGCCACAACTGAGAGAGACCCTGAAGTCTTCTTTCACGCCACGGGATGTCTAAGGTTAGCAAACAAACAAACAAACAAACAAACAAAAAAATACCACAACTAGATCTAATCACTGTTTGTTTCGGTGCAGTTGCATTTTCTGTGTGTTGTCCAATTTAGTATTTTGAATTTACAAAACAAGTCAATGTTGTTTTTGGTGGCAATTTTTTGTGGGATTTTGGGTAAAATATATATTTTTCTCTTTTAATAATTTTGGCTGTTTTACCATATATACCATTGTTTTTTTTTTAGATTAGTCTGTTTTTTTAGCCTACCAGTACTAGTTTATGTATGGTATGGTATGGTATGGTATGGTATAAAGTTTATTCATTTTAAAAAAGTACAAAACAATTCCATAACAATATAAAAAAGATACAAAAGATTTAAAATGAAAGGCAGCAGAAAGAAGAAAAAATCTTATTATATCTGCCCCTTTTTTCAAACAATTATTTCAATCATAATAATTTCCAAGTAACAGAACAAAATGAATAACTTTCTATTTTTTCTAATTCTAATACAAAACACACACTAAGCTACTTCATATATACTTTTTTAACAATTCAGCTTTGATGTTTTTCTTAAATGTACACATTGACTTGGCATTTTTCACATCACTCTCTAGACCATTCCACAATCCAACTCTTTGGATTGAGGTAGACCTTCCCTTCAGACTAGTTCTGAATTTTGGTTTGACAAATATTTCTATCCCCTTAAGATTATAACAACTTTGTCTTTTAACAAAATTTCTTTGGATATTTAATGGTAATGTGTTTATGTATTTTTTATGTACTTTTTATGTACATAATGTACTATTTTATGCAGTAACCATGAGTGAGATTGATACTCGTCATAAACATGTAGTGTTCACTCTCTTAATGATCCATTCCTTATGAGTGTGTGTTGTAAGCAGCTGAATGAACATCCAGGTTTGTCAGAGTAAGATGTTCTTCTATGGCAGGAAGTTTGTTAGTCTGTCAAAATAAAATACAAAAATTAAATCTAATGTGAAGAAGGAATAATGTTATCCTGTGGAATTTATTTTATTTTTTTACCATAATATGGATAGTTACATTTAATTTCCCTTTGGGATTAATAAAGTATTTTTTTAATTGAATTGAAAAGGAATTGTAAATATCATTTAAAAAAAACTACATGAATTATGCGCAGCATTGTAAAAGCCTCTGCGTCCTTAACATGAGAAAAAAGTAGCGGCCTTTACACCAGCAATTACAATAATCATTTTACAAACAAATATCTGTAAAAGTTGCCTAAAGCAGTATTCACTGTTGTTTGGTTGTATGATTCTTTTTCTGTATGTTGTAAATTTTGGGGGGAAAATAATATGCATAAGAAAAACACATTGTAACAAGTAGCTGACTGGAAATGCTTGAAAGTCCTGAGTTATGTAAGTGAGTGATGGGGAAGGTGTAAATTTAATCCTAGAAATAGAGTAAAATAGGCTGAACGGTCTTTTAAACAGAACCTCCAACAATAGACTTTGCTGTGAAGGATAGAAAAGCAGCGCCGGGCTCTTCTTTTTAATAGTGTTTTTATTTATTTATTTATTTGAATTAAACCTGGGTGGCACAGTGGCGTAGTTGGTAGAGCTGCCACCTCTCAGCAAGGTCACCGGTTCAAATCCTGGCCCGGGTCCTTTCTGGGTGGAGTTTGTATGTTCTCTCCGTGCATGCGTGGGTTTTCTCCGGGTACTCCGGTTTCCTCCCGCAGACCAAAAACATGCATGTTAGGCTGACTGATTAAAAAACAAAGGTTAAAAACAAAACAATGAAACGTAAAGCTCCTCGAATGAGAAGCGAAACGTCTTTAGTTTCATAAAGTCCAGTTGTTTTGTTTTTAACCTTTTTTTTTTGTATTGACCATGTCCTTGATGACTGAGAATCTTCATCAGCGTTAGGCTGATTGGTAACTCTAAATTGTCCCTAGGTGTGAGTGAGCGAGTGAATGGTTGTTTGTCTCTGTGTCCCTGTGATGGACTGGAGACCTGTCCATGGTGTCCCCCGCCTTTTGCACAGTGACTGCTGGATATGAGCACCATTAACCCCCCATGACCTGAAAAGAAAGAAGTGGATAAAGATGGACGGATGAATTAAACCTCCAATAAATATTGTCAGTACAGTTTAGACAGAGATAAGACAGTTTAATGAACTGACAGAAGCAGTCTAGTTAAATAGATCTGTTTGACTCTTGTGTTTTGCATGAAAATATAAACATGCTCAGTGTTTCTTCACCGGGTTAAAGGTGACTTTTTGTTGCTTTTTTTTTGGGTGGGGGGTTAATTTGCTGCAAATTTCTTCAATTACCGGTATTTGTCCTTTTGAGCTGGTTCCTATTACTTCTTAATGCTCAGGGCAATCTTTTTATATATAAATATATTTTTCTAACTGCGTTTAGCTGCCGTCTTTCCAAATGTTGAAGTCACTTGTGGCCTGCGTATAATGGCTTCTTTTCTCCGTACAGCTGCTTCTCGTTGAGCGGCGTGAAGCTCTTTGAACTTTCATTTATGAAGCAACAGGTGTAAAACAACACAAATCTTTGTTACAGGATATATAGCTGCCTGGTGACATCTAGCTTATCTACTGCATCAGTAAACACATGGGTGCGATGTAGAACATTGGATTGACATCTTGGAACATTGTGCAAGGGCTGGAATTGTTGATTGCTGTTTATGGTACAGTTTTGCACAAGATGATTCTTTTTTTTGAAGTTGCATCATTGTTTTTTTTTTTTTTTAAGCCAACGTTTTCTTTGAAATACTGAGTTTTTTGTTGATGAGAGATTTCCATCTGGTTGAACCAGATAGAAACAAACTAGCTACACTGACTGGAGTCTTAGATAAACTTTGACAGTTTCTCAGTTTCTTTTTCAGCCTGGAACAGGAAGGCAGCTGTTTGACAGCACTCTCCCTGATAGGAATCTGTGTATTTTATTAAACATTTACTCGTCTCTTGCTCGTTGGTTTCCACAGAAACCTCAGCAGTGCGAAGCAAGAGAGCAGACAGATGATGAGGAAGCATCAGGGTTTGGTCGACTCTTTAGTGGGTTACATTAAAGAATGCGTGGATACGAGAAAAGATGATGAGGTAAGAACAAATACAGTTAGAAATCAGTATAACTAAAAGAGAAATGCTTTAAAATAATATTTTAAACTTGATAATTGAAGTTGTAGCATCGGCTTGCATCTCATAACATGGAAACATGCAGGACACTGATTTTGATGCATGCTTTTTTTTATACTTTCTCTCCTGACACAGTCTTTAGTTAACTGTGTGTGCACCCTGCACAACCTGACATACAAGCTGGAGTCTGAGGCTCCGGTTCTGTTCAGCAAGATCAATGCTTTGGCTTCTAATAAACCCAGGAGCCGGAGTCAGAACAACGTCAGCACTGTTGGTTGCTTCAGCTCGAACAAATCTCCAGAGTATGAGGTAAGATGAGTTCACCAAACCCTTTTATGATAGCTCACCAAAAATACTTTTAGATTAGAGATGCATGATATTGGATTTTTGGCCGATATGTCGATATGTTAAAACTTATTTGACCGATATCCAATGATATTTTTTATATACTTTCCTTTGTCAGAACACAGCCCTCTTATTTAGGCTTATTTGCTAAAAAAAAATTGTGTAACAGCTGTAAGAGTTGGTGACATATATTCAGTAACAGCCATCTGCAAAGCATTTTAACTTATATTAAATAAAGTGTTAAATGTTATTTATTAGCATTAGTCACCTGCAACGCTGTCTCACTTGTGGAGGCTTGTTCCAGGTTCTTAGCTGCAGTGTGGGATCCTCTGCACTCCTGTGCATGAAGGACAGCCTTTTTAAGTTCAAAGTTTTTGTCTATCCATTGTGCCGTAAGACTAATCATGCTAACGGGGCTAACACGACGTCCAAATGTCTGTGGTAAAACTCACCCAAGTGCTATCGGCTATTAGCTTCTCAATGACGTCGGAAATGACGGGTAAGGTTACATCGGAAAAATATCCCCGACTGGGGACGATGTAGCGAGGCTCAACGTAGTCCAGAAATCTTAGGAATCCGACATCCTCAATGAAAATAAAACCTTCCACACCGCAGACATTTTGAATTTTCCTCTCCACCGTAAGATCATGTAGGCGCGTGTGACGTCACCACGTTGTGCTGCCGCTGCAGGCATCCTTGTCTCTTGGTTGTCATACAAAAACAGCACCTTTTATATCGGTGAGTTATTTTGATGGAATGGCAGATGTCCGATATTGAACTTTATCTCTAATATCAACCGATACGACACCATGCCGATAATATCGTGCAGCCCTATTTTAGATTTGACCATTTATTTGTTTGTCTAGACACATTTTATCCCTGTCATTATATGTGCCTGCCAGATTTTGAGATATTTGAAGTGACAATAGGTTTGTACTCTGATTTCTGAAGGGTTGCAAGACTTGCAATCTCTTATTTCTGCTGAATCTTGGTCACCCGGTCCCTGGCCAATAAAGAGAAACACCCAGTAATAAAAATGCAAAATACAGTTCTCTGGGGAAAGGTTTCGGTTTTCAGTATGTTGTCATGTATACCGGAACAAATGCAGTGACACCTTGGAAGATAATTATTTGTAAAACAGAAACAGGGAAGATGAACCTATCAGAAATACAAAGGGAATAATCTGTCCTTTTCCTCATCCAGTACACCTTTGATTACCCGGTCTCAGAGGATCGGAAACCCAGCGGTGCCAGCTCGTTGTTCCATTCCACAACGCTGCAGAGCTACCTGTCTTTGATCGACTCGTGTCAGCGCGAAGAGACGCAGGAAACCTGCTGCAAAATCATGCAGAATCTCACTGCAAACGAGAGCGTTGTAAGAAATAATCCTCCTGTCACACATTAACCAGTTTGAAAACTATTTAACTTTGGCTGTATTTTTGAAAACTAAAAGCAAGCACAATACATTTTTAATTTAATGGTGGCTAGTTTAAAAAATAGGTTGTGTAAAGTGCAAGAATTGACTATAAAAGTTGTGCCACAAAAAACGATTAAAGATGTGGAAGAGTTCACCTCTAGGTAGAAGACTAAGACCTAAGAAGAATACATCTATGGGTAAAAAAAATAAAATAAAAAAGATTTCAAGATGTACTTGTAAATTAAATGCCGTTAATAATTTCATCATATCATCTGTAGAAATCCATCTTTGCAAAATGGATTGTGGTAGAAATATTCCAAAACAACATTGTTAGGGCTTCAAGTTGATTAAAATGGAATAAAATGAATTGAAACAATAATTTAAAAAAAAAGTGCTCTAGCATATCATTGTGAATTTATCTTTAAATTATGGCACCTCAAAAGAGAGAGGAAAGTTTAGCTGGTTGTTTGAGGTCAAAGGTCAGTTCACATTTTCTATTACCTTTTCACTCGAAGCTCCTTTGTTTTTGCGTCTTCTCAGGTCTCGAGTGTAATGAGTCAGATGATTGTGCAGAAACTGAATGGCATGCAGATTATCAGCCCGCTTCTGACCTCAGACAAAATCAACTTGCAGAAGAGCGCCATGGCTCTGGTGGCAAACTTGATGAAGAACCCAAATCTGCACACTGCCATCGGTAAGAAGCAGGTCGAAGACTTTGTTCCCTCTGAAGATAAAATATTAATCCATTAAATTACATTAGCTGAAATTAAACATTTGTTTTAACCTATTGCCTTCAATTTCAATATTTGGTTGTTTAACAATGGTTGTGTTTTATTGGACATGTTCTGAAGGTAACAGAGCCCTCCCAGAGCTGGTGGATGTTCTTAAGAAGGGCACAGATGGAGCGAATGAGTCCGACGACACACTGGCCATGGCCTGCCAGTCAGCCAGCACTCTGCTTCTGAATGAACCAGAGTTCAACAAGAAATGCATAAACCTAAACTTGATAGAATCCCTCAAAGACATCAGCAAAAACAAGTAAGGAGACAGAAAATAAATGATAAATGCTGTGCTGCATTAAATAAACGCACGGACAGGATGACTCATTTTTAAACACTGTGCACGCAGCTTAGATTTCCACAAGTTCAGACACAGTTTCGACTAATACTTGCCCCCCTTTTTTTTTTTTACACTTTCTCTTTTTTTTCTCTCTCTCTCTCTGAGATATTTCCCGAAATCCAGCAAAGCTGCATCCATTCTTCTCTTGAAAATGTGGTCGGATAAAGATTTGCAGAGCCATCTGAGAAAGGTGAGTCAAGTTTTAAACCCTATGTGCCAAAACCTGTCTGGGTTTGGGTGTGTCCTCGCGGTATCTTACATTAGACACAAAGGTCCACGCCTCTCTCGGGTATTTCTGAGAAACAGAAGGAAAGGCTGAAGGATTAGGCCACGCTCTCAGGAAAGTAAAAGCTAGAGACATTAATGTGATAAGGCTGAGGAATCTCACAGGTCGGGTTTGATGAATCACAGCCTGGACTTAGTTTGCACATGTATAGCACCTTCAAATTACAGCTTCAAAATATATTATTGAGTTTGCTATTGGCAGAGCACTGAATGGTTTGTGAGCTTGCCAATGTGTGACTGTGTGAATTTAATAATGATAATGGAGGAAACACTGATTGGGATGGAACTTTGTCCTACAGGAAGGGATGACCAAGAATATCTTTGTGAATGACATCACCATGGCAGCGTACAAGTCGGCCCAAGCTATTTAATAACACGACAACCCAACAGACCTTTGGGAGTTATTTTTCTGAAGTAAGACGCCTGCACATCTACGGTACACTGACTCTTCGAGACACAGCTTCGTCTTCTCTGTTTGCCAAGACTTTTGCACATATTTATCCAGAAACTCTCCAAACTGCATTGCCTTGTACATATACTGTAAGGTTTGTTTTTAAAGTAGAAATAAAGGTGAAGGTTTAGGTCTAACATGGCAGCGATTAAAGCCAAAATTGTAAATATGCTTTAAAAGTTATAATACTAATAAAAGCTTTTTTAGTTTATTTCAAATCTGGCTTTTTTTAAACATAATAAAACAAGTTTTTATTTTGCACTAGCATGTATGTTTTAATCTGTAGCAACACTATAAAAGGGATTTTGACAGTTTAAAATGAGCATGCATACAGAAATTGTCTTAAGCAGCGATTGTATTTCTTTATGTGCAATCTGTAATTCATCTTTTATTTTTTTGTCGAAATTGTGGCAATAAAGCCTGCCATACATTTGCAATAAGAGATTTGTGTTTCATGTGTCACAGTTTCTGGTGCTGCATAAGTAATTTTCAACTTTTTCGCACCTTGTCACCGCTGAAATTTGGCAGCACAGTTTAAAATGCCTCTGGGAAAATTAACGACGTCGCTCTTTGTTTACTCCACCCTCATGTTTCCTTCCCTGAGTTGTAGGAAGAAGCTATGAGAAGCAAAACCTGCAGCTGGTGTTGGTTTTTCTACATTTTGTAATTGTTTAACAGGCCTGGACCTTTGTAACAAGGGAATTCTCAGGTCAAGGGTGATATTTAGATTTATTAGTCCTCTGGTGCAGCTAATCTATGGTTAAAAAAAAAAGTATTTTAGCTGAAAGATTTATGTGATCCCATGCCATTATGTACTCAAGCCTGGCAGTGCTAAAGGCACAAATCAAGTCTGTCTGGGTGTGTAAAGAAGGAAAACACCCTCTCAAATGATGGATTTAAGCCAATCTGTTGCTCAGTAACCGCCAAAGAAGTTCATTTGGGAAAAAAACTTTGGTATAGAATAAGTAACTGTACAACATAAAAAAACTTCTGGATTAAAAACAACCAAATTGGTCAAATTTGGACTGAGCCAATTCTGAGTAGTTTATTTTAACAGGGTTGAGCCGTCAAGTTTTTTTTTTTTTTTTTTTTTTACCAAAACAAATGGTGGGGTGGGGGTGTTAAATGAATAATTTGTGAATGGGTTATATAATAATAAAACAAAATCTTTGGAATTAAAAGTTACAACTCGCGTACGTGCATGCTGGTGCTAACCACTATTAGCATCAGCTAGCTAGCTCCATTTAATGGCACTTAGGAAACAAAACTGATTGTCTAGTGCCAACTAAACTTATCAACAAAGCTAACCAGCTAAAAATCGTATTACAAGTTGTTTTTTTACTGACTAATCTTGACTTATTACATTCTAAAGCAGAGATCCAGTTAGGTCCAGTTGAGTCAACCTTTAGTTTATGGCGGACTGTAGAATGGCATGGCTCATCTCAGCTAAGTAGTGGCAGAAGTTTGTTTTCGCTGATCACACAACTTTACAAATTGCATTACAGTAGTCCCTCGATTATCGCGGGGGTTACGTTTCAGACACTACCGCGATAGGTGAAAAACCGCAAAGTAGGAACACTATATTTATTTTAGTATTGAGTTCAGCTTCAGGATTATTTGCAACTTCCCAGCCAGTTCTGTGAGTTTAATAAATAGATTGTTACTTCTGGCTTTGCGTTGCAAAACTATTTTTATGACATCGGTTTCTCCGCTAGTGTTTGATCCCTCCATTGTTGTTCTTTGAATTTCAGTAGAAAGCAGCGACTGGAAGCACTGTTGGCTTCTGGGCCGTGTAGTTCTTTTGACTTGCGTTACAGTGTAGGCTTATTGAAAGAAAATTGCAAAATGGCAACGCCTGTCCAAAGTATTTTTTTTGTTTTTGTTATTTGGTTGGGTCCCAGTCCCACAAGAGCTGCGATTTCTAACCCGGGCCCGGCCCGACCCAAAATTTGGGCCAGGTCGGGACAAAATTATGTGCTTGATGGGCGGGCCAGGTCGGTCTCGGGCTTTTGATGCAGTTTTACTAATCATACAGCACAAAGAAAAATAAATAAGAATGCACAATATAAAATGATGTTAATCTTCTTGTAGAGGAGGAGACAGTTTATATGTTGAGAGGGTGAGGAAAGAAGAAAATAGAGTGCAACAGTTAATCAGACTGTGAAAAGAGAGAGTAGCGCTGGCACACTGCACACCAATTGTGCATGTGGCCCCACCCTGCTTTTATCGCACATCTGAGGATTTGCAATTGACCCACAACAAGCCACGTAATGCAGCTGGAAAGTATTAAACAAAAGCTCAAAATGGGAGAACTCACTCTACAAAGCCAGCACAGTGAAACCTGCTGATGTGTGTCAGGTAAGGTGCATGCTCAGGTCTGATCTGCCGGTTTCAGGCCTAATTACAGCTAATTGGTCAGGTCGGGTTGGGTCCAGAAAAAATGGCTACGGACTGGGGCTTGGTCGGATCAGATTTTTTAGGCCTGAATGCTACTCTAGTTCCCGCTCCTGCCCGCCGCTCCCGTTAACTTTTTATCCCGTACCGTCCCAATCACATGAGTAATATTAACGTTGACAATTGTGTGTCGTGTACAATCTTACGTTCGGGTCTCTCTTGTAAATGAGTCCCCGAGGCTCAATGGGATTAACCTGTCTAAATAAAGGTTGAATGAACGTTGAAAAACTGTAAAAAAGTGAGTCCGCAAAAGTCTAACCGTGAAGTATCGAGGGACTCCTGTACATGTTCTCTAGAAAATATAAAATATATGTAATTTACTATTTATTTATTTGTTGTGCACAAAGTTGTCTTTTTCGCTCCCTCTCCCTCCCATGTGTTGCAGTTGTGTCCAGTTTGGCAAAAAATGAAACAGAAACAGACTCATCTTGCACCTGCCTCCACCTGAAACAGAAATATTTCAAAGTTTAAACTGTACAATCTAATATTTGATCAAATTACTCCAAACCTGTGAACCAACAGCTTTAACTTCACAACCGAGTTATCAAAATTCATTCAACCTTTATTTATACACGTTAATCCCATTGAGCCTCGGAGTTGATAAATATATACATATAAGATAATAATAATATAATATATAATATAATTTTAATTCAAGTGAAGGAATCTGTGACATGAAATAATTTACAAGATTCACGTTTTTGCTGAAAAATAAGTTTTATTTATTGCAACCACAAAACCATACAAGAACTAAATATTTGGCCTGGTTTCTGTGTTTTTGTGTTTGTTGAATCAACACAAGTTGCACCACGATGCAAAGTTCATATAAACCTGCTTCACATGCTATGAAAACAACACGCTAGAATAACTTCTTAAAAACATGTCATGGTATTCTCATAAATCTATTGTGAAATTTGCATGTTCAAGTATTTAGAAAACATAATCGTGTAGCTTAAGTCACTCTCAATAACACCGGGATGCCAGATGTTGCCAGTTTCCCATGCAGCAGATCCCAGGTGTTACTTCCTCAGGCCTCGCTTGCTCCTGCTGCCCTTTGAGCTGAAAATAAAGTTCAAGTCAGCAGAGAATTTCTTATTTGCCAGATCAGATAACAAACATCCTCCACAGTTTGTGTTCATCTGAAGAATCTAAAGTACCTGGAAATAAAAAAAATACAGTATATATTTGTTGAACTTTGTATGACTGGCTGTGATCTGTTTTTTAAATTTATTTATTTATATTTCTATCATACATCTGAGCATTTTAAGAACCGCTAGTTACACCTGACCCGTGGACCCTCCCAATTCAGCCGGTAGGACGTCGGTAGAAAATCAGAAATCAGCTTTGCTTTTTGTTGTCGCCTGCAGCTGTCCTTCATATCAACCTCAGATGTGCTGCTTGACTTCAGACCCAACGATTACTGCTTTTACTGGAGGAGAAAAAGCATCCATCCATAATCTTTTACCCGCTTCTTTCTTTTTGGGTCGCCGGGGGGGCAATTAAATAAAAAAAATGTAATATATATATTTTTTAAATTTACCCTTTATTTATACAGGTAGTCTCATTGAGCCACAATAACTCATTTTCAAGAGAGACCTGTTTAGGGAGCAGATGGTGAGGGTTGAGGGCCTTGCTCAGGGGCCCAGAGTGGGGCAAATGAGGGTGGAAGGAGGTGTGGGTGTTCCACCTTTTCCACCTACATTTTTGATGTTGACGGTACCAGGAGTTGAACCTACAACTTTCCGATCACAGGCCAATTTTCTAACCTCTGTGTGCCACCACTCCCCCAAAATATATATATATATATATATATATATATATATATAATGTGTTAATTAATTTATTGTTATTCTAAGCTGATGTGTGAAATGTTGTAAGATTGTTCATATTTTATTCCACAACTGTTTTTGTGGATGTTGATTTAAACAAAAGAAAAGTTTAAATTCTCATCATAAAAGGTCCAGATTTTTATTGTTAATATTGACAACACCTCAAATCATATTTGTATGTTCTAACTTATTGAATCTTAAAAACATATTTGGCAGAAAATTGAGTTTTAATTTTTAATTCCTATGCCCAACCCTCTGCATTAGTCCCTTCTGTTTAGGCTCAGAGAGGATAATATAGTCTGAACACTTGGGCTGAGTGCCCAGAGATGCACAGAGATGGGAAATCTTTTTTTTTTAATTATTTTTATTCACCTTAGAATTATTGTTTTAGGTCTCATTAGGTTTTATTTATTTAATTAATTAATTAATTAATTAATTAATTAATTAATTTTGCTCTTGAAACTTCACCAGATCAGAGTGTAATCCTCTTTTGTTTATGCCAGTAAAACGTGTGGAATAAACAGATTTATTATTATGTTTGGTGGCAAAAAGTAATTCAAGACGAAGCAAGTTTTCCTTCTTAAATTTGTTCAACTTCTTTCTTTTATAAAATAGCACAATGATAATGTACACAAGTAGCACTTGCATTTCAAATAAATCTTAAAAAAAAAACTACAAGAAACTATGTGTTTTGGAGTTCTCTTGAGATGAATGTGACATCACTTGGCTGCTGCATCCCTTACTGATGCTACTGTGAGTTTTTCTTAGCTGCTGTCATGAAATGGGATTTAACAAATAGTTGCCACCTATTCTTATCTGTAGTTGCTACACAGTTTTTGACGCTGCCTGGTGCAGCCTGCATGAGGCATACTGTATGTTTAGTTTTAGCTCCTTTCTCAATACAAAACACAATTCTGTTTAGACTCCACTATGAAATGCATTTGGAAGTCCAGTTTGAGTCAGAGCTTTATAATCTCCATCAGCTCCACCTGATTTCACTGTTTTAATAGAAGCTCCATAAACTGAGATAATGACATTTCTCCCGAGTCGAACAGCACATACGTGTTGTTTAGATAACCTTTCCAAGGACTGCACGTTATGTCTGCTCGGGTTTGTTCAGATGGGTGTGTTCAGAAATTTTAAGCCCTGCTGTCAGAATACTGGCGCTCACATTCGTCTCTATTGTCTCTTTTAAAATGAAATAAAATCTGTGTTTTACATCAATCAGAGGGGAGCTGAAAAGAAGAAACAAATTCTCATTGTCTTATTTATTTTCTTGTTTTCTACCATCTTGGTGACATGCAGTCCAAATAATATGATCAGTGATTAAAAGTGAAGTTTAATACATTCAAATCTACTCTGAGGAAGCACAAATACTTACATTTTCTGATGATCACTGACTCTATTCCTCAGCACCGTGATCTGTGCAAAGCAGCACAAACATTCACAGTCAGTTAAATGACACTGATTTTACCCATTCTGATCTTATGAACAAAGAAGAATACTGATTCTAATGATCTTTCTTGTGAAATAAAAATAAAACAATTTTGTCACTTATAGACTTCAATGAATCGGAGAAGAGTGGCGGGTTTTAGTTTGGGTGAAAACAAGCTCTTCCAGAGAAGTGACAGGTGGAATCTGTCTGAAGGACTCCTCAGAAAAGCCTTTTAGAAAACAGGTAGTAAATACCTGTGTGTTTATGGAGGAATTTAAACAGATAAGCAATCTATCCAAACAAAGCTTTTCCTTTTCTTTTTCTTCGAAATATGTCTCTAAAATAGACTTGACGGTGGAGAAAAAAACTGAACAGAAACATAAAGTCATAAATTATAGCTGCATATTTATGGCCCACAGTAGCATTTTTGCCCTTGTTTTTGCTCTTGTGTCTTTTTATTAGCAAAAAAAAACCTCATGAACCGCTGGACAGATTTGAACAAAACCTTTAGGACATAGTTAAAAAGACAAAAACAACTGGACTTTTTTTTTTTTTTTTGTAATAGAAGATGTTTTCCCTTCTCATCTTCTCAGCTTTCTCAATTCAAAGAACAGAGTGTGGGGTTCGAGTTATAAAGCTGAGCTAGAAACACATGCAGATTGCTCTGTCACGCCTCACAGTAGGGGTCTGTTAGGGTCTTTGTTAGTCTGACTCACAGATGGGCCACTCTGGTCACATGGATGACAAATATTTACAATATAGTCTTTGGATGAATAACTACAACTAATGAACTTTTGGAGCCAGCTCATATCAAGATGGCCGCCACAGCCAGCTATCTTCATAAAAAAAATGCAAACACAAAATGTTTTACTAATAGACAAATTTAGACTTTAAACTCATGAAGTTTGCCTCGTAGGTTAATATTTTGTTCTCAAACCTCTTTTTTTTCCCCTTTATGGAAGTTGTTAAAGGACATTTGATCTCCTTTTGCCGTCGACTGTGTTCCTGTTGTAACTGAGAATCTGGCGTCGTACAAAGCTTCTGCAAGGACTCTCATGTGTCTCGCTGTGCGTTTGAACTTCGCCCTGCTTCCTCGACTCCTTCTGTTACACATCCGGGATTTCTTTACGTTTTACCTCATACTTCTGCTTTGAGAACGCGTCCTGAAGTTCAAATTTCTCTGCTTCCAGCTGGCGCATCCACTCCCACAGTTCCTTTGCTTTTTCTCTGCATGAAAAGAGAAAACGAGGATCTGACGTTGTATGTATGTATGTATGTATGTATGTTTTATTTATCCATTTCATTTCATCCAAACAACAAATACAATACAATTTAAAGAAAAGAAAAAAGATATACAATCACCGAAATAAAATGAAAGGCAGCAGAAGAAGAATGAATTCTTATAATATCTGCCCCTTGTCCCCAAAATATATTCCAAACAAAATTACTATACAAAAGCAACGTTACAAACATACGTTGTCAACTCATCGTGAAAAATTGAGAGTTTTAACTGTGAATTGTGTTCGATTTACTTGAGTTTGTCCTCTTTAAGGTGATCGACGTTCAGCTCGTTGCGGCGATCGTTCAGAATCTTCCTCTTCTTTTCTCTTTCTGTTTGTCTTTTTGTCCCCGGCTGTGTTTGCTGGGAAACAGTAGAGCACAATAACAGTTTTATGAACCCAGTAAGCTGTGGGCTCATTTCAGACAGATGTTTTTAGAGTCCCCACCTTGTACCCAGTAAAACTCAGGTTTGCCAGAATCATCTTCTTCCTTGCGTCGTCATCTGCTTTCTTTTTTGCTTCTTCTTCTTCTTTTCTTGCCTTCTCTTCCTAATTGATTAAATAATGCATTACTTTTGACCAGCCGTGCACGTAAATTCATCAGTGACACTCTCTGATTTGAGCTGAACTGATTTTAACTATAAATCTGAGGCTGTTAAACGATCAGTTCCAAATTGTATTAGTGACACTGTTTTGGCTATTTTTTAGTAAGATCATTACGCAAAAGGCACAAGTACTGTAATTTCCGGACTTTAAGCCGCTACTTTTTTCCTAACGCTTTGAACCTTGCAGCTTATACAATGCTGTGACTAATTTATGGATTTACATATATATATACATTTTTTTTGAGAGGCTAATGCTTCATGCTGCCAAAACATTTAGCCTCATCACACCGTGGCGCTGCTCAGTACACATCTCTCTTGGGGTGGGGGGTCCTCATGGCTCATTGAGACATTTATAAATAAAGTTTTTAAAAGAATCTGACCAATGAAATTACCGAACATGCATTTTATGTTTTTTTTTTAACCAGCCGTGCTACAGATACTATTCTGAAAATTAAACATTTACTGTATATATTTGTGTATGTTACAGTACATGTTTTAAAAAAATATATATTTTTGTGTAAATATCTCATGTTGCAACGTAGACACCTGCGGCTTATAGACCAGTGCGGCCTATTTATGTACACTATATATATATATATATATATATTTTTTTTTTTTTTTAATGAGTGGGCATGACTTATATTCAGTTGCGCTCAATATTCCAGAAATTAGAGTATTTCTTTGTAAGACCTATTCACACACTTGTTTGTGAATTAAGCACGCTCTCATTAGGGTGAGAAACAATCAGATGTTGAAATGTTTTCCACTCACAGCGAGTTTGGCCTGCCTTTCTCGTTCTCTCTCCGCTCTGATCTTCATCTGCTCAGTCCTCTCAGACCTGCGTTTCTCCTTGCAAAAACAATGAAACCTTTTGGCCTCAAACAGACCTCTCAAAGATTCAGTTCAGAAGCACTGAAAACGTTGCACGCACTTATAGGGAAGAATACATATGAGCATACCATGCGATCTGAGAGGACGAGCAGCTCCTCTTCCTCCTTCTTACGCTTCTCAAAGTGAGCTTCAATCAGAGTCTGCAGCTCCGTCAGGTCCTTTTCCATCCGTTTCCTGTGAATGTCCTGGAATTACAAGAAGAAACAGGAGCGGAAAGCACATTTAAACCCAGGAGAACAGCTTCCGGGTGTAGACTTGACAGTCCTGAGATGAACTCACATCAAAGTCGACTTTTTCTCCATCTGGGATCTTAGGAGGCACCAAGCCAGGGACAAAACCAGGCCTGAGGGAAAAGAGAAAATACAGTTTTATTCCGAATGTGCAGGCAAACTGTACTGTGAATGTATAAAAAAATATGTATTTTTTAACTTTGATCTTACTTTTGCTTGGGCTTTGCCTCTTCTGTGAAGAGGAAAAAGCAAATATTTCACGTATAAGGACAAATAAAAGTCAAAATAAAATAAACAGACTAATGTGTACCTCCTTCAGTTTCCTCAGATGTGTCAGCTGAAAGATCAGATGAGCAATTATTCTTCATGCAAATGCAGTTTAGCAAGCTACACCGACTGCCAGCACGTGTCAGCCGTTACTAAATACAGTCAGAGGTGTCTCAGTAACGATGGGGCTGAAGTGTCCTCAGGCAGACACTGAACGAGTCAAATAATCCATCAACACTGACCACCTGTCAGAGCTGATGGACTCCACACATGAAACTAAAACAGATTTGTCTTCAAACAAGGTAGATTTAGGTTGTTTTCACAGAAAATCTAGTTGGTTTATTCCTCTCGTCAAAACAAAAGACAGCAGAAAAGGGCAATTACATTTTACTTTTGTAAAATAAAGAGACATTCTGCATGTTCATGTGATTTTTACACCAGGATTCATAATATCAGACTTACTTAATATTTATCCACACTGTGCAAATTGCTAATAATTGAATTTTAAGCTCTAAACAAGTACAGCTCTGTATGGAGTATTCTTTGTGCCATCAATTTGAGTACATGCTGTGACAAATCCACATGATAACGTGAGCAAACAGTGATGTGTCAGGTTTATCCACAGCTCTGCCTGTTTGCTCCTCCAGCTGGCACAAAGTCTGGCACGTTCTTTTATTATAAAGTCAAACCACACTCCAGACTCTGCTTAGGTTTTTAGTTTGTAATATGAGCATTTTCCTGCTGTTTCTGGTCACAGTTGAAATTAAAGATATTCAAGTTTTATGTACTACAAGTAGAAATTACAATTTAAAACCCACAATTTCAGCGGTACTGGTAAAATGTAAGCTGTAAATGTTTAGAAAGACTTGAAAATTTGAAAAAATAAAATCAATGGACATCCTTGGTATGTTTGTAAGTAACTAATATGATTGTTATCAACTTGATTAAAAAAAAAAATCCATAGATTTAAGGGGGAAAAAATCAATCAGAGTTAAAATGACAAATAACTTCCAGATCAAGATGGTGGTTTATTAGTATTAGTATTAGTAGTAGTTTATTTAACAGGGACAATGCACACAAACATAGAACAGAACAAGTTTGTGACTGATGCGTTGCACAAAGAGTCTATAGGTATAGCTAACTCGCAACTCCAGTCTCTGTTGGGCATTTCTGCGTATTAAAATACAAACAATTTATCAATCAAAATATAGTAAGAATACCTACGTATGCATATTTATATTATAAAACTACCAAATGATCTAAAAATGATCGAGAATTTGTTTTGACTAGATTTGTTTTCTCAACTTATTTTCTCAACTTATAAGCAAAGCTCCATTAAATCAGTTATGTCTGTTAGAAAATGTTTGAAATATTAATTTCCAAAATAAACATAATTAAATTCCATTTTTTTCTCCATTTCTTCTGTGCAAAACAAGCTACATTTAGCAAGTGATTGGCGAAGCTACATGTAGACATGGCAAAGCAGTGTTAGGTCACATGGTCACCTCCCAGCCAGGGCCTTCCTCTAAGAAATTTGCATGTTCTCTCCGTGCATGTGTGTGTTCTTCCAGGTACACTGGTTTCCTCCCACAGACTAAAACATGCATGTTAGGCGGATTGGTAACTCTAAATTGTCCCTGGGTGAGAGTATGAATGGTAGCTTGTCTTGTTTGTCTCTAAGTGTCCCTGTGATGGACTGAAGACATGTCCAGAGTGTCCCTCGCCTCTCTCACAATGACTGCAAGCAGCTCACCATGAATGTAAAAGGAGAAGCAGGGAAAAAAGACAGATGGAAAGATGGACGGGCATGAAGCTCTAAACTCGTGCCACAAATTGATCTTCCCCTCTCCATTTATTCTTTGTGAAAATAATTTAATTAGAACAAAGTCCTGAGGAATAACTCATGACGCATTTCACTAAATTGTGTTAAATTTAACTAAATCATAAGTCAAACGCAGAGACAGTGTGAAAGAACAAAAACGGTTACCTGAGCATTAATGTGCAACTTTATTAAGCAGGAAATGTTGTATTTATTCATGTCTGTCTGGGAACAGGTGTTGACACCAAAAGCTGAGTCATTTTTTTAAACTATGCTGTGCAGCTGGTTACTTTCCATCTAACTCATGAGAGAGAAAGTAACTCCACAGAATCACTGAACCACAGTTACTTTACGAGTTTATTCCATTTTGTAAGTTGTTTTTCAGTTTTACCACATTGCTACCTTCCTAAAGCCTCTATTAGGGATAAAAAGCAGCCACTTCCTTCTTGCACAAATGGAAACTCAACCCCTTTCCTCTGCAAAGAAGGTAAGCCAACCTGCATTCAGGAGGACCCCTATGAGGCATAAAAAATGAAAGTGGGCATTGTGCTCAGGCCACTACTTCCCCACGGTCCTCTATTGAGCCCATTCTCTGACCCACATTACTCGCTGACAGCGCCTGTGCTGCACACGAAGCGAGACAGGTGCTGCTTGGTTTTGCAGACATTTTCCCACACAGACAGCCTCACAAAGGGCATGCTTCTGTATCTGTTGGTCTCCGACCTAATGCGTCTTTAGAAGGACAGATCCTCTGGGATAATAACTGGTTTCAGACAAAGAAAGGGTGGCTGAGAGGTCAAAGGTCAATCTGGCAGAAAAGCAGAAAGACAGCTGCTGTCCCTGCAGTGGCACCAACATGCCAACGATGCTGTAAAACCAACAGCTTAGCAGACGCAGCGTGTTAAATGCTCAGTTTAATAACAAAGTGGCATCACTTGTAGTCATTTTTTGCAGCAAACAGAACCGACCTTCTTACTCTTCACACCAAAACGTCACCATTACAAATTAAATACTTAAAGCCTAATGTCAGATGTGAAGCAGCAATAATATTTTTGCCTCTAGCTGTGTGCATGCATGTTCGATTGGACTGATAGCAAAATATTTCATGAACCAGTGAACAGTAACGTAAGCACTGAGTTGACATCTACAGTTGATTAACTTCTGGAGTCAGTCACGTTCAAGACGGTCGCCACAGCGAAGTAACTTTTAAAAAACAAAAATGGCATCAGCCCAGTCAGTTTTACAGACGTTCAGCTCAAAGTTGGCGTGGTAGTAGTTGAGACTCGAACCTTTTGTGCTTTTGCTTAAACTTTATCAATTACTATTGGTGTTAGTTATGTTTTTCTGTTAGCTACACATTTTATAAACCACTGGATGGATGAACAAACCCTAAGAAATGAATCGTTGGCAATTCATCAAAAACTTAACTTTTTGCTTCAACTCAATTCAAAATGGCCACCACAGCTAATTAATTTCCATCCCAAAAATAGCTACAAATCAGTGGATTGTACAAACGTTGTGCTGAAATCTGATGTGGTAGTAGCTGAGACACATTTATAACATGCTCCAACAGCTAATACGATCTTGAAACATCTTGCATGAGACCGTGCATGTTGTTATTTTCAAGGTTTGATCAAAATGGTTGTAAAATTGCCATTTCTCAACATTAAATATTCTTATAGTCTAAAACTTCCATAAAGAATACGAGGGGTTTAAGTCTAATATACAATCATGAAACATATCCTCACGTTTCTGACATCTGGAAGCAGCTGGGACTCTTTCCTGGCTAACAACATGCACGGATAAACGTCACTCCAGCGTCAAACTGTGAAGACTTATCTGGCTCATGTGTGGCTTCAATAAAAACACAAACGGACTTACGTTGTCCTCTGCAAGAGAAAGAAACGAGAACAAAACACGTTTAATGATTCCATGACATTTGTTAGCGTTCCTCTTCCCTCCGCAGAAATAAATCAAACCAACTCACTCGTATGCGGCGTCTTCCGTGTCCGACATGTTTTGGAACGCAGCGCCTGCACAGACAGAGGTAAACTGTGGAATTTTACTTTTAAAACTGCCCGAGGTGATGGAAAAGCAGCAAATCGGAGCACATCGACTTACCCAAATCTTTTGATATGTGCTTTAGACAACAGTCAGTAGGGAATTGTGCACTGTGTCTCTTTTTGTGGGTCATAAGCTTTTAAACCCGGCAGTGGATCACATGGCAGCGAAGCAGCCCACAGCCACAACTGGTGGCCACATACCTGCCAACAGATGGTAGATGGCATCAACTAGAATAGGAAAACATGCGTTCTCTGTGGATCTGCTTTGTCTATTTTTACCCTTGGAAACCTCGGCAGAGTAGCTCAGGATTATTGCTCCCTAAAGGTTTTGGTCTTTCAGCTCAGCCAGACATATGCAGCATGTTAGATTTAATCCCTGTAAACCGATTCCCGTGTGCACATGCTTACCAAGAGGCACAACTAAAACTCCTCTGAGGTAAACAAACACAAATGATTCGTGCTGTCATTTTGCTGATCAACGCCACACTCCCAAGCTGTTTGCTGTTAAGAGTCGTATAACCATGGCTCTGTCTTTATTTCCTTAGCTAGCTGCCGAGGTGAAAAGCAAATGAGAACTCACACCCTTTATGGCTTCATCTTCAGCAGTTCACCTTTAATCCTTCATCTCTGCCCTCACAGGCTATAACATGTTATCAACAGCACTTGTGCCCATGCCACACCTCCTGATTGTCCCACAGTGTGCTGGAAGGCTGTGTTGGACTCTGCAGTTGGGATTATGACTCAGATGTCTTCCTGTGAGCTGAAGCCAAATGCTAACTTTGTGTGTGGGGCTGTTTGATGGGGAGTTTCCCTCCATCTGAACATTTTACTCGCTGCTATTGGGACTTTATATGGCAGCTTCAATTTTTAGGTCTGTAAAAATAAGTCCATGCTCAAATCTTGTCAATACAAGTCTTATAGATGAAATTCTAGTTTTCATAAGAAAGAAACGCGTCATTTTCTAGTAGACATTTAATAAAAATCCTCTGTAGAACAAAGTTTTCCAGCAAAACCATCACTGTTAAAATAACACTAAAGTGTGAGTATGTGTGTTAATGTAAAACTGTCAAGTAATTCAGAATTGAATTCAAAATCTTACTTCTAACATACAAAGCTCTCAACAACCTAGCTCCATCTTGTATTATAGATTTTACTGTTCCGTATTTTCCTAACAGAACATTTCACTCTCAGACTGCAGGTTTACTTGCAGTTCCTAGAGTTTCCAAAAGCAGAATGGGAGGAAAATCGTTCAGTTATCTGGCTCCTCTTTTGTGGAACCAACTTCCAGTTTCTGTCTGTGAGGCTGACACATTGTTCAGTTTTAAGATTGGGCGCCTTTCCTTTTTGATAAATCCTATAGTTAGGGTCAGCTTGGGCTTCGAGCAGGGGTGTCAACCCCACTTACAAAAGGGGGCCAAAATTAAAACCTTTTTCAAACTAAGGGCCGGTTTCAGAATCTACATTAACTCAAGTTAGATACTCAACATCTTTAATTTTTCTTCATTTTTTCATTTAGCCTTTATTTATCAAAGTAGTGTCATTGAGCCACGAGAACTCATTTTCAAGAGAGACCTGTTTAGGGAGCAAATGGGGTTTAAGGGCCTTGCTCATGGGCGTAGAGTGGGGCGAATGAGGGTGGGGGCAGGTGTTGGTGCTTCACCTACCCCACCCACATTTTGGATGTTGTCGATACCGGGGCTTGAACCGGCCCACCTTCTCTAACCTCTGCGCCACCACTCCCCACTCCAATAATATATTATTTGTCACAGCTTCCTCAACAAGAGTTTTATTGGTCTCATTTGACATTCTCCGTTGCACTTTTGACATCATAATCAAAGATTATTGAAAAAAAAAAAATAAAGTTACAAAAGTATTTTACATTTAAAATAACATCTTGGGGCCAGATAAGATGTCAATGAGGGCCACATTTTTCCCCTGGGCCTTGAGTTTGACACATATGTGCTATAGGCTTAAGCCCCCAGTATACTGCCATGTACATCCATACGTAGAGGTACGCATGTATGTACGCAGAGGTACGATAATATTAATGTAACACAATAGTGGACACATATTAACACTCTTTGGTGTTATTTTAACAGACACTGATGCGGTGTAGGTTATGTAATTGTTTGTACTGTACCTTTGTCAGAGGAACAAAATAAAATTTTACAGAAGAATTTGTCCCTTTTTTAATCCATAATGGTCTTTGTCTTAGCATAACATCTTTTATTATTAATATTGTTGTTGTTATTTAAATAAATAAAGATTTGTTCTTATAAATTACTCTAAACTTTTATTAAATAATGGAGGAGAGCTGCTATCCTATGAGAGCATCCTTTTAACATTAAATCACTTGTTGCTGAAAATGAGTGCTCCTTTTTTATACGTTTCCTAAATGTGCATTTTATTCTCCTATAGAGGCCTGATAATCACTGACGTTTCAGAAACCTGTCTTTGTTTTGTTGGATGGATCTTTTGTGTATCATTGAAGGCATTTTCTCATATACAATAAATATTAAACTTTTTATTTCAAATAGCCACAAAAAACGTTCTTGTGATTTGTCTTGTTTCAGCTGCTTGTTGTTGTTTTGTTTTTCACGTTTGCTTTTAGATTAGCAGGGAAAGGAACCTATGATGTCATGAATCCAGGGAAAATGCAATGGTTTTATTTTCATTTCAGCAGTCGTTATTTTTGTCTTTTGTGACATTTTCTTTTATGATAAATTTTGACTGATTAACATTATTGCAGAAACAACAAGGTCTGTACAGAAAGGCAGACCTTTGTCTTCTTTAGACTTTAATCATTTATCCATCCATCCATCCATCCATCCATCCATCCATCCATCCATCCATC